TATATATATATATATATATATATATATATATATATATATATATATATATATATATATATATATATATATATATATATATATAATATATATATATATATATATATATACACACACTTTATAGATTGCTACTAAAAAATTTTAAACTAATGCCAACAAAAATCTTTATAATTATTTTAACTAGAAATTTCCAAAGTTCTCTTTTTTATTATAGAATTTTATTATAGAATTAGACCAAAACATGTCCACTTCACTAATTCAATAAGTTAATACTTTTTGAACATTTGAAATTCAGTAAAGCAACTTGACAAACATTTTGAACATTGCAACTTCAGTTGTGCAACTAAACATTAAACTTCATTAAAAACTAGATGAACTTAATCTTGGTGGACTTTAGTGCTAGTCAATGTTGAATCAAATATTTGATTTTTGTAAACAAAAGTCTTTACTTTATGGAAAAAGTAAATAAAAACAAGCAAAATAGAGAGGTATTGAATCCAAGCAAATTTGATAAGCTGCCAAAATCCTGGATGGTAACTATAGCAACATAAAAAAAATTTAGGAATCAAGACAATTTAAAAATGATCAAAAAACAAGACAAATAAATAGATTAACATATATACATTATAGTTTCCTCAGGATACTCAATATGAAGTTTAACAGAAAATGGCACTGAAGCAGATGGCTGACCTCTCCATACAGGATAAGATCCAACAAAGGTTGTAGAAACTAAATTAAAAAAAAAACAGTAATTTGAAAAATGTGAAACTAAAATAACTAATGAAAATAAGAAAGACCTATAACGCACAGTTATAACTATATGAATATTGAGCAAACATAAGATTAAAAATAAGACTATATGCAGTGTATATAAACATAAGAATATATGCAGTGTATATAAACATAAGAATATATGTAGTGTATATAAACCTAATAATATATGCAGTGTATATAAACATAAGAATATATGCAGTGTATATAAACATAAGAATATATGCAGTGTATATAAACATAAGAATATATGCAGTGTATATAAACATAAGAATATATGCAGTGTATATAAACATAAGAATATATGCAGTATATATAAACATAAGAATATATGCAGTATATATAAGAATATATGATGTATATATAGACATAGGAATATATGTTGTATACTTAAGAAATATTTTCTTAAATAGATTATGTTATGTGTATACAACAAAAAGGTGATATGCAGTATAAGGTGTTACCATGTGCCATGTGAATCAAGAAATGTTTCCATTATGAGAGGAAAAAAATGTAGACAAAATTGATATAATAAAAAATATATCATTCATATTTTTGTATATAGATTTTTATGCAAGGCTATTGCACATAAATCTTTATAAAATACCAATTATATTACATAATAGGTATTTATTATAATAAACATAATATTACATAATACTTTATTATAATAAATAAACATAATATTACAACAATATAACATAGTATAATATTATATATGACATTTTGAAATGATTTCTTCTTTTGGAGTGTTTGGTTGTTCACTAAAAAGGCAGATCAAATATTAGATTATTTAGACATCCAGGAATTTTGAAAAATGACAAAGAGTCTCACTCTCTTTCAGATCCTTGCTGTCTTGATGGGATTTGTCAGGTAGTTTTGTGTGTAATGAAACTTTGTCTTGGATCAAAACAAATACTCATTATTTTCATATTTTATTCTTTTCATTATTTTCATATTATTAAACAAATACTCATTATTTTCATGTTTTAAAAACAACTGTCTTCTTCACATGTCTTCACTGAAATGGCCAGAAATAAAATTCTTTTTTCATTTAAAGCGAAATTTGACAATAAAGTTACAAGTATTATTGATTGTTTTAAGTTATTCATTATTGGACCCAAAAATCTTACAGAATGCTGAAGTATTGCGTTCATTTAGATCATCCCACCTTTAGTATAAAAATAATTTTTTGACTATACTTGATTGAAAATCAATTTCACATAAATGTTTTGGTGAGTTAGGTGGTAAGCAGTAATATTTGTAATCAGTTACTGTTGAGTTAACTTATGACTTAACAGTAACTGTAACATTAAGATTTGTTTGTAGGATTGTAAGATTTGTAATCAGTTACAGTAACAATTTGAGTGCGGTACAAACAAAGACCATGGTAGGGATAAAACTTCTCTCTAATGATGCGAGCGCTCTACTATTACACCACTACTGCAAAAATTTAATAATTAAAAAAAAACATGTTTAATATTCCTAATATAAACTTAAATTTAAATTTAAAAAAATATATTAAATTTTTTGAAAACAGTATTTTAAAAGCTATCTTTTATTCTTGAAAATATTGGATTTAAAAAATATACTTTTTTATTTTAAATGGAGCATGGCTCCCAGTGCCCTGGACTTATGAACCCACTGGTCGTATGCCTTGAAAAAATTTTTAACACACATTCATCAGGACTACACAAATGCAGAAAGTTTGAGAGTTTCTAGAGCACTAAAATTAGGTATATAAAAAATTGCCTAAATTTATATAAATTGATAATTACAGGTACTTAATAATAATTTTTTACACTTTTGATCATTTCATTGGATTTGTCACCCCACTGAGGCTAAAATTTTCAAAGAATTCTTATTTTACTAAAAACTCTCAACCCTATAAAAATAAATAAAAAATGAGATGTATGGTGACATGATGTATGGGTCATTTGACATGGAATTATCCATGTCCTATGCTAACAACTCCTATAATCCTGACTCTTAAACTTCTGAAAATTGATTGCATGCTTCCAAGCTTTTATAGGCCTTTTTATCCTCAGCTGTATAAGAACTTGGTAGAAATAAAAGATTATTTATTAAATCAGTGTAAAATCATGTTTCTTCATTGTTTTTGAATTTGCTACCTGGAATTGAGTAAGGATCTATGCATTTTATAAGAAAAAGTTTTTGAGCATATCTGTTTTTATCCACAACTTAATCAGATTGAAATTCACAACTTAACCAGCTTATGCAAATAAAGTGCATTAACAAAATGAGCTTGTTAAAAATTAAAAAAATTTAATATCTTAGTGTAGTTAAGGCAATTTTAAAATATTATAGCGTCTGTATGATACTTTGTTGACTACAGCATATTTCCATTGATTGGTCAGGTCTGTGAATTATGAAAAGACAAAAAAAATTAAAATGACAAATTGTTCGGTATCATAAAATATAAATATTTATAGCAAAATAATCCAGATCAAAGATTCTTTTATTTTGAAAAAAATCTTTTTAAAATCACAATTGCTTGTCCAAATTTGAATAAAATTTAAAATAAATATGTTGCTTAGGTAAAATGAACATCATAGTTTAATAATATGATCTGTTCTGTTCATTTATTAGCAGTTTTTCTTAATTGCTCTTTCGTGGTCGGAATTCTTGTGTTTTTTGTGAAAATTGATAGAAACATTTTTTTTTGACAACTTTATATAGTCAATAAATTATAATAGATTAGAACTAGAATCTATAATAAATTAAGGCATTTTTTCAAAAGATTTAAACTAAATTCATTAACACCAATGAGCTAATGTGAAAAATGTTAAAAAAACCTGAAGCAAAAAAAAATTATACCACCTAAAACTGCATTCCAAATAAAAAATGCATTCCAAATAAAAAAAATCGAATAATTTGTAAATCGCCTACTACACCAAAATGGCTGTTAAAAAAAACAAAACAAAAAACATCTTTCACTTGGTTTCTAGCAATTAATTGCTGGTTTTTAATAGAGCTATAAAAATATTTTAAAACTAAAGAAATAAACACTATTTAATAAAAAAAAATTATTTCATTACTTACTGTTTCTTGTTTGATAACTTGAAAGTATGTTGTGAAGATCAAAATCTAAAATGTTTTGAGAAGTTGAGTCTATGATGGGCACCTAAAAAATTATTTTATAATTATGAAATTTGTTATTGTGTTATATTCTCCTCCGTCTAATTGCCATATAGAGGCTACAGACCAAGGCCTGTGAAGACGAGTTCAGCTCACTAAAGAGCATTATTACCCACTACGCAGACCAAGAGTAAGTGCTTTTAAGAAAAACAAAGGATAGTAGAGAGAAAGTCAGAAGAGATCAAGTTAGAAAAATAGCATAGAGAGAGCAGACAGATATTGCATAATATATAAAATTTCATTCAAGTCTTTTTGATTTGTTATATTGTCATTATGATTACTCAAATCTTATTTCAATCAGTTTTTATTTATTAAGGTTGTATATGGATGTATATGTAGAATAATCATAATACATTGTATAATATAAAAAAATATTTTTCATAATTTACCAACTGATCTGAATAAACAAATACATTTTAAATATCCTGTACAAGCATATCATTAATCTACAAATATATCTTTAAAGTATATTCCCTAGCGAGCAAGCATACTTACAATATGAACATAAATTCAAAATTAAATTACTATTTTGTAGGACTATTTTTACAACCGAAAACGGATTTGCGCCTTAAAGGCATAAACTCAACTAAATTAATGCAAACATCAATAGGATTTAGTGCAATATTTATTTTCCAGAATAAATTAGGATGATTTGTAAGCCTGATGCCTAATATTTGACGATTAACATGTTCCCATAAATGATCAATGGCATCTAATTTCAACTAAATCAAATGATTGAGTTACACATCAAAACACAAATTTTACTCTTCTTGAAAAATTCTCAAAACGTTTTGCCTGTGTGTTTAAAATTATTGCCTGTGTCTTTTGGATTGTTACCTGTGTGTTTAGGATTATACCCCATTATACTATTTATTAGGTTGTTATGATGGAATATCCACTCATGACGCATTTTATCCTTTTTATGTGGTAACATAATGTTTTTACATGTCTTTGTGTGTTTCTTGATCAATAGTTCTAGTAAACCTATGGGGTGGATCAACACCACCCAAACTAAAACATTTCAAAACCATTACATTATCTTCTCCATTTTTTATGGTAAGCAGTTGGGTCATATCTTGTACCTACTGGATGTAAAACAAAATTGATTCTATCTGATCTGAGCTGCATAAACATTTTTCATTACTAAAAAGAACCTTTGACCATTGTTGATTACTCCACTTTAGATGCTGTGATGCAAATTCTTCTAGTACATTTCCTTTTTTCTAAGAAATCAATATCTTTTTAGCTAAACCTCTTCTAAACACTTTTACATCATGCAAACAGTGTTTCATAGTAGATACATAAATACATACATACATACATACATACATACATACATACATACATACATACATACATACATACATACATATATATACATATATATATACATATATATATATACATATATATAAATATATATATATATATATAATATATATATATATATATATATATATATATATATATATATATATGCAGACTCTAAATAAGAAGGCTGTATATATATATATATATATATATATATATATATATATATATATATATATATATATATATATATATATATATATATATATTTAAATTAAATGAATAAAAACAACTTTTGATGGAACTCTGAGTTTCATGCCTTTCGGCAATCATCAGCCATTGTGTATTTCGTCACTTAAAAACCGTTTCAAAATTACAAATTAAAATTAAGGTGGAACGAGTTCTGACGTTACCAAATAAAACAAAACAAAACAAAAAGACGTCAAAGGTTTTAGTCCCCGGTATCAAATAAAGATAGTAAAAATTTTTTTGAATGCCGGCACTTTGATATTATTTCATACCTTTTATTAAGTAAGTTTTCTCCTTTATATGATAATATGTGAAACTTCTCGCGGAGACAAAGTTTATATATATATATATATATATATATATATATATATATATATATATATATATATATATATATATATATATATATATATACATATATATATATATACATATATATATATATATATATATATATATATATATATATATATATATATATATATATATATATACAGCCTTCTTATTTAGAGTCTGATATATATATATATATATATATATATATATATATATATATATATATATATATATATATATATATATATATATATATATATATATACAGCCTTCTTATTTAGAGTCTGCATTGCTGAAGGTTCACAAAGCCATTGAGAGCTAAATGCTGAAGCAGAAGTGAGATCTTTTTCAAGCTCAAATGCCCCCTCCAAGCATTCAGCGAGTGTTGGCTTTTTATCAAGACAAGAATAAATGGTAGTATCATCAGTGAACAATGTTACCTTTGATGTGAGAATTTCTGGAAGATCCTTAATGTAAAGTAAAAAGAGTATAGGTCCATTGATAGAACCTTGAGGAACCCCTGAAGTTACCGGATATGAAGAAAAGTGCTGTCCATTGTGGACAAATTTTATATTACAGTTGGTAAAGAAGGATTCAATAATCTTAAAGATGATATACAATGTTAGAAGAAAGCTTATGGAGAAGACCAGCATGCCAAACTTTATCAAAAGCTTTATTCAAGAGCAATAGCCTTAACCTCTCCACATCTATTTAGTGCTACACACACACACACACACACACACACACACACACACACACACAAACACACACATATATAGAATATTATGTATATTACCCTTAATACAAAAAATAATTCTCGTGAACTTCATATAAATGTATGCAAACATACCAAATGTACAAAAATCAACCTAATGTGCAAATACACCTCTAATGTACTAATAAATGTTTAATGTAAGCCTTTGATCCTCAACAAACATACAGTCATATAAGTTGTTCCAAGTCAAATAAAGCAAATTTTTCTGAGATTCTTTGTGGAGCAAGAGAATAGCAAATCCTGTAATTTTTAGATCAATATCGAACATAGTTCTTTGAAAATCAGTTTAAACAGTGATTTTTTTTTAAAAAAAAATTTAATTTTGATTTCATAATAATTAAACAGTGATTTTTAATAATAATTTTTAATTTTGATTTCATACCTTTATTTTGGTGAAAAGAAATATTTTATGGATACTTTTACAAAAAATTCAAATCTAACCTTCAATTCTTTTTCATAATTACAGCCTAAAGTTGATATTTTTGTTATTCAATTTAAAAACTTTGATTTCAAAGAGCTTGTTATTAAACTAAATTTAAAAATTGCTAAAAATTGGATTTTAATCTATTCATGGTGGATAATCATTTTAGAAAAATTCAGTTAATAAGGGATTTTGCAATATTTTATGTTATATATGCCCCACATGCATAACTTAAAACTTCTTTAGTTGAGCTCTTGAGATAAAACATTCACATTTGTGCAAACTAGTTTCATCAAATGAAACTATTTATTTTTAATGAGTTTAATTTAGTTTAATGAGTTTTTAATGTCATTCAATCATTAAGTATTCATTAGATTGATAAAATTCAAGAACCTCTGCAATTACCTTGGGGCTCTTACTACTAAATTTCTTATAAAACTTGAACAATTTTATCTTCTAGATAAAATCATTCAAATTTTTTTGTTCAAAATACTTTATCAAAGATATAATCTTAATTTTCACATTATTGTGAATGCACTAACTAAGTATATTCTCATATTGCAACACTTTTTTGTGATGGTTTATATGGAATTTACTTTACTTTAAAGACAAAAGCTCTTGGTTTTGTTAAAAGTTTTTAAAATATTTTTTTTTGACTGGGTAAATTTATTTCCATGACACTTTTCATTCAATGCTTCATGAATACACTAACAAGAGATCTTGTTATTATAAAAACTAGGGCTGCACCGGATTTAATTTTTCCAAATCCGGCCGGAGCCCGATTTGCCGGATTTTTACTAACAGACCCGGCCGGAATCGGAGCCGGATTTTGAAGCAAAACTACAGGAACCAAAATCCTGTATATCCCTACTTGGTGTTGAAAATAGTCAACAATGTTGACTATTTAGATCACCAAGTGACAGTTCCTGACGGGCATTTCTTTTTAAAAGTTACGATCTAAATGTATTTTAAATGTCTTTTAAACGTCTTTTAAACATTAATGTTTAAAAGACGTTTAAAAGACATTTAAAACACATTCAGAACGTAACTTTTAAAAACAAATGCCCGTCGGGTTGTTTTCTATTAAACATCATTTTTGTTGTTTAAAAGTTTTATAGCAATTTCTATAGAAATTAATAGACATTTTATATAAATTTTATAGAGTTTCTATAGGCCATATGTTTCAAAAATTTAGAGAAATTCTACAGAACTTTTTTTCCCGGGATGTTGTCACTCCGCCACTGTAGTGAATCAGCGTGTCTATATATTTCTGATTCTTCCAGATATTGGCTTAGCTGAGTGTCAATGCCTGTTGGTAATTGTTGTTCATGTGCTGTGCCACAAGCGGGCGTAGACTCAATAATTTCATCTATATATATTGCCATTGTAATGATGATAATGTATAAGAATTATCCAGCCGGGATTGTTTTGCTGGATTTTCTTTATTTTTTTCAATCTAAAAAGGTTTCTCCTCAATGCCTTTGAAACGCTCATCTAATGAGTTGATTAGGATTGACTTCATAGTCTTTACACCTGCATTATTGCAGAATATCGTGTGTCTTCTCTTCAGAATTTTTTGTTGCGTTCTTGTTTGAAATTAGGTTTACCTAATTAAATTATAAAAAAATGTAAATACAGATACCAAAACAAACATGAAGTTCAAAAATTAAGTATTATGTATACATGTTATCACGGGTAAAAAAGATGTAATAAACATCCAGAAATCCGGCCAAAATTATGCCGGATTTGCTAACATTTTGCCGGAGCCGGATTTGGGCCGGATTTGTAAAAATGGCCGGATTTCGGCCGGAGCAGGAGCCGGAGCCGAAATTCGGTACAGCCCTAATAAAAACATTAACAATTTATTTGTTTAATGAACAAATTATATTGTCGTAATAAAATATTTGCAATATTAAAAAACAAAAGTTATTTCAATTTTTTTTTTTAATTTTTACTCTGATTCACTCCCAACAAGTAGTTGGGAATATTAAAATAGTCTGGAACTATTAAGTTGGGAGTAACTAGAAAGAAAAAAAAAAGAGAGTTATAGAGCAAAGAAACGGTTGACAGAAGAATTAAAAAGTTGAAGGTTGTATGAGTCAGGAAAACATGAAGATGGAAAAGAGTTCTAAAGGGTTGAAATTTTTTAGAGCATGCAGGGACACAGAGTAAAATAATGAGACTTTGCATTGATGGAACTAGAGATGATAGCTCTTTTGAGCAGGGATCATGATAGTATATGTAGAATAGAGAAAGAAATGCAACTTTAAGACGATGCGAAAAAAGCTCAAGCTTAGCAGATAGAGCGGGTCCAGTTTACAATATACTTTTACCAGTTTACAAAATACTTTTGAACCATGTCTAGGAGAGTAAGAGCGTCATTAGAAGTACATTAGAGCATCATTAGAAGCCCAACACATGACAAAAGTATTCCATACAGGGACGAATAAGAGATTTGTAGAAGTAGTTACAGGAAATGGAGAAGAGTGTTGGCCTTTAAGGATGACTTTAATAAAGCTGTTAGAATGAAACAATTGGATAATCTTAAAAACTTTACCAGATACATCATATGAAACAAGCTTATGGAGAAGACAAGCATGCCAAACTTTTTTGAAAGCCTTAGATATGTCAAGAGCAATAGCCTTAGCCACTCATCCTCCATCTAATGCATGATAAAATCTTTCAGTTTTCAGTCACAGCAGTTAGCAAGTCAGCCATAGAACAAGAGGATCGAAAACTGCCTTGATTGTCTGACAGTAAGTTATTTGACTAAAGATGGGATGTGAGAAATTTTTTAATCAAAGACTTTGCTAATAACAGAAAGAAGACTAACCATAATTAGAGGGGTCAAAATGTTCACCAGAGTTTTTGAAAATTGAAACAATAGATGCCATTTTCCAGCAGACAGGAAAACAAGACTCAGTCAAACACTTATTAAATAGTTTAGAGAGAATTAAAGAGAGTTCTGGAAAACAATTTTGTAAGACTATGATAGGAATGTTGTCTGGAACACAAGCCATAGAGGAATTTAATAGAAATATGACTTTAGCAACGGAAACTGGAGTGGTTGGAATATCTAACAAATGGTTAACCTGTTTAATTAGAGTGGAAGAAAGAAAATGTCCATAAGATTCAAGAGTCGAATTTGAAGAAAAACTCTTTGCAAGTAATTCTGCCTTATCCTAGGAGAGGTGATAAGATCAGTCCCATGAATAAGAGATGGAATGTGAGACTTTGGTTAATGACGCTGTAAAAGATTTTCTAAAAGTCTCTAGAGCCTAACTTCTAAGATAAGATACGAGATTTAGTGAACTGAGAATAATGGAGCTTAGCATCAAACAACACCTTTTTACATCGATTTCTTGCAATAATAAATAGCTACTTGTTCTCAAGAGAGTTTTTTCAAAAAATTGATTACAATTATATATAGCAGCTGCACAAGAAGGTGAAAACCAAGGAGTAGAGTGAGGTTTGATTTGGAACCAACAAGAAGGAATAAAAGCTTTCATTCCTGCCTAAATACAGGAGGTTAGGTAGGAGGCCCTTTTTCTTCAGCTGAGAGTAAAAAGACATCAGCCTAAGGACCGTCAGAAAGAAAATCATGAAAAAAATCCCAGTCAGCTCTAAGGCAGTAGTAAGTAGTGCAATGATAGGGTGAGCCTAAGAAAGAAGTACGAGATAAAAGATTTAAAGAGATTATAGCATGGTCAGAACCACCAAAGGGAGAAAATTGAGAAAATAAACACAAACCAGGGTCAGAGATAAGACATAAATCAAGGAGTGAAGGTAAATGATTAAGGTTGTCAGGAAAATGAGTCACAAAGTTAACTATCTGAGTAAGATATTGAGAAATACAGAAGTTATAGGCTTTAGTGCCAGCAAGGTCAGTGGCAACCATCCATGCGCAACATGGCACTGTTAATACTTTAATATTTTGCAACTGTTGATGGAATCAGCCTCTCTGAGAACTACTAAAAAGTTTGGGAAACCTTACTACCAGCAGGCCTCAGAACCATTAAACTGAGTTGTAGAGCTGTACCCTCATTAGGAAATAACAGAAAGAGTTGCATAGCCACTATCATGGAGGCACAAGCAAAAACCTATGAGAAAATTCAAGAAGATCAAGCATTCATCATCCTAGGCTGGAAACAATGTAACACAGGTCAGCACCAGTCTAATAAATGAAGAAGGGGTTTGAGGCTGGTTAGCAGAATTTTTTTGCTTACCCCTAAAGTCTTTGCCTAGAAGGCCTCCTACAAAATAGTAGCGAGATGCATTTAACATCTGCCCAAGATGAGTATTTTTATCGAGACACCATCTCTAGCCTTTACTCAACCAAGAGTCTCAAGGCAAATTTTATATAGATGCAGTTAACATCTGCCCAAGATAAATAGTTTTATCGAAACACAATCTCTAGCCTTTATGTTTATTTTACTTTATTTGATAAATTTCAAGATACTTAATCTAAAACCTAACTTCCGCTACCCAGATGATAAATAATAAATTTAATTAAAGATCTCTAATTAACTGATTTTTCCTAAACGCCTTTCCACTAAGCAGATCAACATCCACTTTTATGTGTAGCAGTTTTTAATCTATCTTTCAAAAACAAGCTCTTCAAATCCAATGTATAATTTTAAAAATAAAAAATATATCAACTTAGGTCTGCCATCATCAAAGAAAATCAAAAAATCAGATTTTTATTTTGTTTGTGTGAAAAAAATCACACAATAAAAATTTAAATCTGATTTTTTGATAGAACATTTATTTTAAAAAATTAGGGTATAAAATCAACAAGTTCAAATATCATTTTTTTTTATTACCAATGAAATAAAATCTTTTGAGTTAAAGATTTGAGTTATTAATGAGAAAACACATTTATTTCTAATAAGATCTCAGATTTAGTTTACTTTGAAACCTTTTTACCTACATCATACTTGGTAAGCGAGCCTCTGTGCGGTAAAGGATATTTTTGAACAAACTTGAGTACACCATTGGATTTAAATTCAGATCCAGGAATGCAAGTCTGAAAACTAATGAAAGCAAGAGACTCCATTTGCAAATTGGAATATGTCTAAATATAAATAAATATATTTTAGAATTTAAGATATTTTTATATAAATATTTTTAACAATAATATAATTTAAAACATTAATAAAAATTTTCATAATCTAATCCTATGTAAAATTAAATGTTTTTTGTTATTAATCATAGAGTAATAATTTAATGTAATTTTATTTTTGTCATTTGTTTATATATATTCAAAATCAATTTTTATTTGTGTATAAAATATATTGTTTTTAATATATAAACTTAACTCTTAGTGTTATTTATTATTTGTGCACACTATCAATATCAATAGGTCATTAATTTGTCATATGAAATATAATAAAAAGTTATTTTGTAAAATAAATAAACAAAATTGGATTTATTTAAAAAAATTTGATTTATCTAAAAAAAAATTATTTACAAACATATACTTATATATTTTATTTAAGAATATGTTTATAATATAATTATAAACATATTCTTATAAAAAATGATGTATCAAGAGCTATTGAGCTATTTATATTTAGAAAGTGATACTGTAAGCTTTTTTTTTTTTTAAGAGTGGAGAAAAGCTCTCATAGAACATGGCGAGCCATGCAAGCTGCTCCTCTAAACAGCTTTTTATGAGAGCTTTTGGTTTTTGGACAAGCTATCTATTTATTTATGAAATAAATTGTTTATTAAATACAAAATTTAATTTTACTCTTGTTAACAAGCATTTACTAGTAACATTAATGCTAACAGAATATATACATAATAAACATCGTTTAAAAATTGTGCTGTGAAAAATTCCTTAGACGAGCGTTTTCTTTAAGTTTCACACTAGCTATCCATTTATTATTTAGAACTTTACTAAAGAATAAATAATCAAATTTTGTAATCGAAAAAAAAAAAAAAAAAAATCAATCTAAAACTAATCTAGAACTTAAATTTCTGTTTATTTGATGTACTTTGCTCAAGAGCTCTTAACTTATCTAGATAATATCTAAAGATAGAAAAGTGTTTTTTTTTTTTAATAAAAATTATACTTTTAAAGAGCCTTAAATTGCTCCCATAGATCACTTTAGGATGTGTGGGTGAGAGCAAGAGCTAAAGGTCTCTAAGGCCTATAAGCCCTATATATATGCAGTGCAATCTCTCTAATTCAAATCTCATTAATTTGAAAACTTCCATAATTCGATGATTAAGAAACTCTCACTTTAACTTTCTATAATTCGAATCTTCATAATTCAAAAACCTCCACAATTCAAATGGATTTTATAGACCCGTCAGTAAGATTCTCTCTGCATAACAAATTTTTTTAACTTCTGACATGTAAAAAGCTCATTTAACTGTCAAAATCTTTTTTCAAATTTCGAATGTTGTGAGTTTTTGAAAAACGATTAGTGTAAATTATCTTCTTATGTTTAAAAAAAATCATGGCATCAAACAGACATAAAGAAAACAATTTAAAGCAGAAATAAAAAACTCTAATGAAAAAAAAGGAAAAACAAATAAAGAGGTTTCAAAATTTTTAGATATTTCGCCAAACACTCTTTCAACCTGGAAAAAAAATAAGGATAAAATCTTTGACGCTTTTTGTCAAAGAAATTTGCTTAACGGGTGAAAGTTGATTCGAATTACCTAGTAAACAAACGTTCAAACAAACTAACTAGTAAACAAATGGTTCAAACAAATAAGCAGGTTCGTGGGAACAAAAACTATATTGGGGGGCAGTACTGGATTAAGGGGCCTCAAAAGCTATTTTGGGCAATCCAAGTATCTTAATCCAGTATTTATAATTTAGTATTAGAATTTATAATTTTTAGTATTTATATATATATATATATATATATATATATATATATATATATATATATATATATATATATATATATATATATATATATATATATATATATATATATATATATATATATATATATATATATTGTTTTTTAATCAATTTTTTAGTCAATTTTTTCAAAATTATTTTTTTGATAAATTATTGAAGGGCAAATGCCCCTGTTGCCCCCCTCCTTTAGTTGCTACAGGCCTTTTTATTTATCATACATATTTTATTTATCATACATAAACTAAAATTAAAAACAAAATGTCTAGGGTAGTATTTATAAATGGCCTACAAATACAAGTCTTCTAAGGAAATGCGTACAGTTGACCTCACATATAATATTTTGTTTTGACAACTTGTTCATGGCTACTGCCTGTTTTAAGTTATAGCGTTTAGAAAATGTATTTAATAAACAAATGTAAACTCAAACTAAAATTAAAAACAAACAAAATATAAACTGGAAAGAGAAATAACAACTTAACTAAAAAAATTCTTAACTAAAAAAATCCTTAATCAAACCCAAACCTCCAAGATACAACAATCATTCTCATAAATAACACAAGTAGTCAACATAAGCACTACATCAACGTGGTGATATAGGAAACATTATTAGCCTTAAACTAATTGAAATGTTTTTAAATTTAATTATGTTTGAACTATTATTTAAGACACTTTTAAATTTAAAAATAAATTAGTTTTAAGCTTTTAGTTTCTCTGGTTTATCCTTATTTATTTTATGATTACTAAAGTTTATTTCTCTTTTTAGTTTGTTGTTTGTATCATTTTAAATTTTCTATTTGAACTAGTTTTGTTTTTTTAGTTGATTTTTTAAAACACACAAATTTTCAATATATGCAAAAAAACTGTAGCCAAGATAAAATGATCAGAGCCTATTTTAGGAAAAAAATTGAGCACCCTGGCCTGGAGAAATTTAGCAGAAAATCTGAGTTTTTTAGCGAAAAAAAAACAATATTTGCAATAAAAAACGTATATAAAAAAAAGCCCTCAAATCTTAATTTGGGAGGTGCCCAAATACGGCTGACGCTGTCAAAAACGGTCTAGAATAGCCTCTGATGTGGTGTATGCATGGTCATATAAGACGTGTTATCGCACGCGTCACTTGCGAAGGCTTGATATATATACAGTGTGGGAAATAAGAAATTAAAAGCTACTTTAACCCCTGTATATATATATATACAGGGGTTAAATTAGGGGAGGGGGGGAATGCAGGGGAATGCTGTTAGAGTTTTTTAAATCCATAAATTATGCAATGCTTAATTTATTTCATATTTAAAAGTAGATCATCTTCACTTTAGTGCAGTATCTTATTGCTACTTTTATCTTTAATATAAGATACTGCGAGGGAAAACTTGTAATATTTGCTTACATTTAAATTTTAAGTTGCATAATTTATGGAAGATCAAAAAAACTTATAAACTTATTAATTATAAAAGAATATTTTCCAGCAATATTAATTTCAAGTATTTTAATGGCATTAATTACATTTTTAAAAAGTTTTTTTATAGTAATTTTTTAAAAATAAAAACTAATTCAAAATAATTATGCATCAATCTAATATTTGTTGTCGTTTTTTGTATTTTATTTTGTTGTTGTTGTTTTTGTTAATATTAAATACATTTTTTAACAAATATTTGAATATTAATAAAAAAAGGTATTTAATATTCACAAAAAACTGTATTTTTAATTTTTCATTTTTTTATTGTCTATTGTATTGACAATTTTGCTGTTATTATTATCAATAACATTATTTTATTTTTTACTTTATTTAAATATCTTTGAAATAACTTTTGCAGAATATATTTGATTGATTAATTGTTAAGTAAAAAATACAAAATACATTTCCGTAAATGTAAATGGCTACAAAACATAAACAGGGAAAGTTGTCAAATTTCTTTTTGCCTGGACCTACACTTTCAAAAGTAACATGTTGACATTGCGCTTGGTGGAGATAATGCGTCAAGTTACAAGTAACCAATTTTACTAGCACATTAATGAGTGGTTCATCGCCATGGCCTCAAAAATCATGTAGTATACTAATACTTTGTCATCTCCACCTCAATAATCACTTAGTTCAGCAGCCTCGGCCTCATTTGATAAAAATTGTAATGACATAGGCAGCAACCATTTTTCTAGATATTAGTTAATTAAACTAATATAATGAATTCAAGACTTAAAACAGTTTTTTAATCATCAAATTATTCCAAGGAATGGATTGCATGCACCATAATTTCTAATAACGAAACACACAATTTGCAGTCAACATCACTAAGAAAGAAAATATCAACACAATGTATCTGAAACCTATAGGCAGGCTTGCAAACTTCTTGAACCTAGAAAAGGGGGAACATTCAAAAGTAAATTTCTTAAAAAGTAACCAAGCAAACTTAGAAACAACTGAACATGTATTTAGAAAAGCATACTATATTGTTAAAAACAACAATCCTTACATTGACCATTTTGAGCTCATTGATCTACAGAAATTAAATGGTGTCAATGCTGGCAGACTGTTACATTCAAACATTGTTTGTGGAGACATAATTGATTTTATGTGACAAAATGAAAAAAAAAGTAGTGATGGTGCCTTCATTATGACAAGATCAAATAATATCATCATTTTAAATGATAAAAGCCATTTTGCACAACTTTGAAACTTGACATTTTCATTTTATAATGCTTTAATCCATCCGAATGGGACTCAAAGGATATAGCTAAATTTGAAAGCTTTGCAAAGAAACCTGCAAGCATGTCATTTCTTAAAATCTGGCATTAATGTATGATGCATTGGAAGAACTCAAATCAATTTATAAGTTCTACAATTAAAAATTGTCACACTTGCAGAAGCAATTCACATTACCTCTTGTCTCATATATATATATATTTAAAGGGAGAAACCATTTTCAATGTCCATACCATTTTCAATGTCCAGTTTGATTTCAGAAACAAACTGGACATTTTTAATGTCCAGGTTGTTTCTGAAATCAAACTGGACATTGAAAATGGTATTTTCTAAAATGTGAATGTATCAAAAGGTAGAAATCAACCTTTAAGTGATCAGGCCACCTTCTTTCAAAATCTGGTAATAAGATTTACTAATCTATACAACAGATTCTATAAGTGAATTAATTCACATATAGAATCTGTTGATGGAAATCATATTATAATCCAATCAGTGCAATGCTTTGAACCATATTCATGGCCATTAAATAAATAAAAATAAGATAAGAATATAACGAAAACAAAAGCATTTTTTGATATACAATTTATTTGCGATTTTTGTCAGTCAGTATATTAAGTAAATTCATTATTATTTACGATATAAATGATAACAATTTCAAAATTTGTTTTTAAAATGTTTTAGTTAAACTTGCCTATTTTTATCAATGCACAGAAAAGCATGAAAACTAATTGCTATTTATTTGTAAAATATTTTGTTATTATTTTTTAGCAAGTTTTTCATATAAAATAATAAAAAATCATTAATACTAATGTTCAAATATAAGATTTAGTTAGTTTCACTACCCCTATTGAAATAGTGTGCACTTTTGTTGGATTCTCCAAATTATGCAATTAAACCCGAGTTTATTTCTTGAGGAACTTTTGTTATCAACGCTTTAAAATCTGCATTGTTATATTACTGAACTATTTTAACAAAACTTTTAGAAGCCTATTTAAAACATTTTTTTAAGTTTGTAAATACATTTTTTCAAACAGAGCAATCTTTATACTCATTATATCTAGTAATTTGTCTCAACGTTGAAAATTGGGCTAAGTAAAGGAAACAATTTCAGACAAAATATATTTATACATAAATGCATTTAAAAAATAAATGATATTTTTTTAATTTAATTTCTTCCATAATTACGAAATTCATTAATCTAATAATATATTATACAAATAAATAGAAATTTATTTTCTGATTTTCCTATTATATTAGTATTGAGCAAAAACATCAAATATAGCAAAAACATTTTTAAAAACTTTAAGATGTGAAAACAAATAAATGTAAAAAAAAAATTACCGAAGTTTCTCATAGTTCTTGAGTACATGGAAAATTTGTTATGTAAGTATCGTGAATAAATTGCATATCAAAACTTTTACTTGTCATTATAAAATTGTTGTTATAAAATGTTTTTTTCCTTGACTTGTATCAAATTCTGTAGCTAAATATAACAACCACCTTATAAAAATAAATACAGAAGTTGCATAAAAAATTTTTTTTTCCAACTTTCTTTTTTTAATTATTAAAATTTTCTAGTTTATTTAATTAAAAATTGATAATTTGTTACAATTTTGTTTCCTTTTTATAGTATTGGGTTGTTTTTTTCTCTGTAGATAAGTTTAGCTTTTTGCAGCAAATCATTGAAATGCTTTAAAAGTTAAAATATGTGAACTGCCATGGTCAGTGTGTCTAAAAATATTATTTTAAACGGGGACAAACAACGGCACGCTCTTCCCGGGAAACCTTGTATATATATATATATATATTTTATTTTACTTCACCTCCTCAAGGCCGAGAAGGCCACTACAGACGAGGAGGCTACTTATTTATATATATATATATATATATATATATATATATATATATATATATATATATATATATATATATATATATATATATATATATATATATATATATATATACTTTTATTTTACTTCACCTCCTCAAGGCCGAGAAGGCCACTACAGACGAGGAGGCTACTTATTTATATATATATATATATATTATATATATATATATATATATATATATATATATATATATATTTTTATTTTACTTCACCTCCTCAAGGCCGAGAAGGCCACTACAGACGAGGAGGCTACTTATTTATATATATATATATATATATATATATATATATATATATATATATTTTTTTTTATTTTACTTCACCTCCTCAAGGCCGAGAAGGCCACTACAGACGAGGAGGCTACTTATTTATTTATATATATATATATATATATATATATATATATATATATATAATATATATATATATATATATATATATATATATATACAAGAGATATACATATATATATATATATATATATATATATATATATATATATATATATATATATATATATATATATATATATATATATATATATATATATATATATATATATATACAAGAGATATACATATATATATATATATATATATATATATATATATATATATATATATATATATATATATATATATATATATATATATACAAGAGAGCAAAAATCTAGTAATTTCACTTATGCATATATTATATATATTATTAAAATTTAAAAAGTTTCAAAAATATTTTTATTTTATTTTTTTTTTTTTTTCAAGTTTTTTAAAAAATAATGAACTAATCATTATAAACTTCTTGAAAAAATTTTCTTTTACACTTTAGAGATATTACTTGACAGGCGAAAAAATATTGAAAAATAATTAATTTGAATTAAAAACTTTTGAACTTAAAAAGTTGAAATTGAAATATGATAAATAATAATAATAAATTGTAACTAATAACAATAAAAAAATTGGAAATAATTATTAAAACAAAAACATAAATTTAATGATTTTTAAATGCTATAAAAATATTTATATAACTAATATATATTTATTATAAACACTTATTTAAAATAAATTTATACAACTTAAACATGAATGAAAACATACATAAAGCCTATAATCAAAAAACAGAAGCAATTGAATACTTTGGATTAATTCATTATCCAATACAGGAGTTTGAACTTCAAATTTCATGAAATCATTTTTTCCATCCAAATTTTGATCAACTTCATAAGACTAGAGATACAAAACTTTACAGAATTTTATAATTTATTATATATTCATAATTTTAGAACTTATAAAAACAAGGATAAACATTTAAAAAAGGGATTAAAAATAAAGGTGGTTACAAAACATACACGAACTATAGGAAATCTTGTGTTTTCACCCAGTAAAACTGTGTTTAGGTTTTCAATTGTACTATAACCTATTAGTTTTCCAGTTGTTTGAAGGAAAAGTACAAACTCATGTTTGAAATGAACTTCTGGTTGCTCACGATATGTGTGCTCTTTTATCCAGAAACCTTTTATAAGCAAAAAAAATTATATAATTATTATACAAAAAAAAATTTATTTAAACAAAAATTTAAAAAGGCTTTCATGTAAAAGGCATGCGGTCGCAGACTTTCATTTAAGAGGCCTGCGGTTCCAGGCCTTTGCGTAAGAGAAATGCAATCACACACCTTAAATGACTACGCATATAATACTTTGTTTTATTAACTTGACCACAACTTTTTGCAAGTTTTGATAATTAGCACTTTTGAAAAATCCGGTAAAAAAAATAAAATTAACTTAAATTAAAATAAGCAATCCTATACTGAAAAGAGATTAAAAATACAAAAAATAAACTTGAAAAAATTTTTTTAAAGAATGAAAAAATAAATTGAAGAAAAAATTAAAACATTTATTGAATAATGTAAAAAATTATCACAGCAAAATCTTTATTATTCTCTCCTATCATTAAATAGGCTTATACAGAGGCATATACATAGTGAGGAGCAGGGCCATGAGAGCGTCTACCTGCCCCCCCCCCCCCCAAGATTTTTTATTCATTTTTTTAGAAACTGATATATTTAACACAGCATGATGTTAAAAAATGCAAGTAAATTTAGATAAAAACTAACTTTCAAAATATGTAAAGAGCCATGGCCAAATTGTCAAAACAAAGTATTATATGCATGGTCATATAAGGCGTAATATAAAAACTTTATATATTATAATTTTATGCTTACATTTACTATTTATTAAATACTGGCATATATTCATATATTTTCACTCTAATTTACTTCTAACAAGATTGCAAGCAACCACTATTGAGTTATGAGTTACTTATAGTTAAAAAAATAATAAGTAAAAACACTGGGAATTGGTTAAATGAATACTTAAAAACCTGTAGGTTGTAAATAAAAGAAAAACATGAAGATAGCTAATAGTTATAAAGTTTTTTTGATGTGCAAAGAAAAAAACTGGAATAATAAAAGTTTTTATAGCATGAAGGGACAGATACAGTAAAAGGATGCAACTTGTTAAATGAGAAACAAGCAAGAATGAGTTTTAGTTCATCGTGATAGTGATGATAGCTTGTTTGAGCATTGAACATGATTGTATTTGTAGAAAAAAGAAAGAAATGCAACCTTACAACAATGGGAGAGTGACTCAGACTTATCAGATAAAGACGGTCTAATTTATTATTATTTTGTTTTTTTCAAGTTAATTCACTTCGCCAAGCCTGAAAACGCCACTAAAGACGAGGAGGCTACTTAGTTGTGGTTATAACCCTCTCTCAACTATATAATTCTGAAACACGAACCTTGACAACCAAGGTTGTTGCGCAGATAAATAAGTTGAGAATACTACCAGGGACATGGTGGGGATCAAACCCTGTATCTCCCACTTATGACGCAAGCACTCTACAACTACACCATGACCGCATTACATTTACAATGTGCTTTTAGACTTTGTCTGAAAGTAAGAGGGTTGCTATTCATCATTATAGGAATACCAATATTATTGCAATATTTTTTTGCAGTAAATAAATGAGTTTTGGTTGTCTAACAAAAGTTGCAGATTTAAAGTCCAGAATTTAAATCCATAAGCCACAGCAAGCCTTAGGCTGTTACAGAAGAGAGATGAGATTAAAAATTAGTTGCTTGCTCTAAGCATCAAAAAGTGAAGATTTTTTGTCAAGACAAGAGTATAACATTGAGTCGCTAACAAATAGAGCCACTTTAGATGTGAAATTAACATGAAGATTGATATTGTAGATAAAAAACAATACAGGAGCAAAGATTTAAGGGTACCACAAGATACCTTGTGGTATTCTTAAAGTTACTTGAAATAAAGAAGAGTGCAGGCCTTTAGGATTAACTTTATTACTTCAAGAATAACTTATTATTTAGAGGTCAAAATCTTTTCTAGAGTTTCGAAAAATTGGATCCATTTATTTAACACTTTAAAAAATATTATTAAATATTATTAAATTAATAAGATTAAATGTTAGACTTACTTTAGTTAATGACATAGTTAAAGACCAACCAAGAGTTTCTAGAAACTAACACCTGATATAAGATACAAGATTTAGTAAACTGAGAATAACAGAGCTTAACATCAGACGGGACCTTTATACATTAACTTCTTGGAATAATAAAAGGACATTTGTTCTTAAGGGGAGATGTTCTTGTAAAAAAGATGAAATAAATGATTAATAAAGCAACTGCTCAAGATGGTGAAAGAAATATGGAGTAGAATGAGGTTTGACTTGAAGAGTATGAATAAAAGCTTCTTAACTTTTAGTCCAAATGAAATAAAAGCTTCTGAGATGAGCTTTATGCATACATATTATGGATATAAACATGTCTGCTATTTATTTAGATGCTGGCGTACAATATCCTTTCAAATTTATGTAAACTTTAGTATTTATATAGTGTACTATTAGCTGAAAGCGAAGATGATGATGATGATGATAATTATGATGATCACGTTGATCATAATGATGTTTATCTATTGCATATATATATAAAATATAACATGAATTTTGAATTAAAAAATTACTTTTTAGGATGTATAAATGTTTATGCAGCCATGGTCACAAACCCGGCCCCGGCTATATTTTATTAAACCCAGCCCCTTTTATATCTAAAAAGTTCAATTCTTTCTTTTCATCTTCTATTTTTGATGTGTAATACTGTCATCTACATATCTTTTTCAAGATTTTGGTGAAAATAAGAAAAAAGAAAGGAAAGAACTAAAAAATTTTGTTTATCTTATTTTTATAACCCTGCCTAAAATATATAAAAATCTAAAGAAATTCAAAAATAACACAGTTATTAATTGTGATTGTTTGTATAACTATAATTACAACTGTTTACCTAACAAAATAATAAAATATAATTTCTGTGTTCAATTAAATTAAATATTTAGATAAAACAGTTTTTTTATTTTATTGTACCCTTAATGATTACTGTAACAAGTTCCTAATGATTTATATTTATATGATACCATAAGCTAACTAGATTGCTATTTAATTTATAATGTTATTGCGCATATTGGATTTTGGAAATATAGTATTAGGGTCATTCCACATGAAATCATCTAGACCATGACACCCTTATATCTCAAGCTTTGTTTATTTTTAGCTCATTTGCAGTCCACATTAAATAAATAACAACTAACAATATTTTTATTAAAAATACACATAGGTTCTAGAGATATTGCCAGTTGAAATAATGCTGACTCAGCATTTTAGTGATTATCTGAAGTAACTACAAAACAACTTTGACATATAGTAATAATGGGGATATGATAATGGGGAAATTTCCTAAAACTTAGCACCTCAATAGATTTTTACTTGAGGAACTTGAGAAAATATAGCACCCTTAAGATTTGATAGCCTCAGGAAATGTCTTGTTTATTCAATTTTGTTTAAAATTATTGACTTGTAAACTGATGATTTTTGGAAGTAAAATGAAGACTGTCAGCTGAAACTCCCAGTAAAAAGATTTAATTGTATATCATTATTTTATCTTTGGTCTACTGAAAAAAATCAGATTCATGAATTGTCTCTCTAATACTTGATCAAAATTTGCATTTAAAAAAGATTGTCTTCTCAGAAAAATTTTAATTTTGTGGCAAAAGCAATTGAAATGTTTTTTAAAACATTTTTTTTAATAAAATATCAATATAGTGTTATTTAGTGACTAGTTTGTTTATTTATTTTTTTTTACATAAAATAAATTAATAATAAAAATTTATTAAAATGAATTTGAATTTGAATTTGTTTTATTTCAGAAATAAAATATTTAAGTAAAATAACAATTGATTAGTTATTGTTCTTAAAAAAAATGTTAAAATATTTTATGAAGAGGTGATAACCAATCCCCTCTAACATAAAAGGTCATTTAATAAAATGACTGAAGATGCTCTTTTTCCATCTATATGATCTTTAAAGGCATTTACAGATTGAGCCCTGATTGCAGTGCGGTCTCACCTACGTTGTGTATAGGGTTTTCCATAGTACTAACCCACAATTGCGGAAAGCTTTTTTGAGTCTATCTAACATGCTGTTAGCCCTTGCTGAAGCTGATTCGACTTGTTGACAAACTTTCAAGTCGTCGGATACTAGAACTCCTAGGTCTCGCTCAAGTGTAGTTGTTTCTAGATTATGTACGATTCCATTTCTGCCTGTCATCGTATACAGTTGTGTAGATTTATTTTTAGCTTTTCCAACATGCATTACTTTGCATTTATCTAGATTTAGACTCTTTTGCCACTCGTGTGACCAGGCTACTGTGCTGTCTATGTCTGTTTGTAAAGATTTTACATCATCATCATTATCGATAACTCTTATGATTTTGCTGTCATCTGCATAGATTTTGATATGCTTTTGTAGGTTGTCCGGCAAATCGTTTATGTAAATAATAAACAATAAAGGGCCTAGTACAGACCCTTGCAGAACTCCACTAGTGACTTCTTTCCATTCTGACTCTGCTCCGTCAATGACAACTCTTTGTTGGCGATTTGAAAGCCACACCTCTATCCATTTTAAAAGAGCTCACAGAAGTAACAAAGACTGGTCGATAGTTTGCGGCCTTTTGCATACTGTCTTTCTTATGAATAGGTGAAACGTTCAACCGTTTCCATAAGTCTGGGACGATCCCTTCGTTGAAGGACTTCCGAAAAATTAGAGCCAATAGAGGTGCGAAGGCCTTCGCACAATTACGTAGAGGGTGAATACCATCAAAACCCATAGATTTGGATTCTTTAAGACTTTTGAGTCTTTTTCTTATATTTGACTCGGTAATGAAGGAATCGTCTGGATCGCATATAACTTCCGTACGTGCTTCAAAATTTGGTAGCTGATCAAGTGGGTCTGTTGTGAATACTGACTGAAAATAATCATTCAAGATTTTAGCGACTTCGTTTTTGTTGGTAGTTATATTTCCCGACAAGTCTTCCATAGTTCTAATAGTGTCTTTGACCAGCTTTTCATGTTTAACCTGATTGTGTAGCTTTATTGGGTCTGATT